AGTAAATTTGATCAGAAAATGTGCTCATTGATTGTACTGCTAGCACTTCTTACGCTGAGCAGACCCCAATTTAAAATACCTCTTTCTACTTTTACTTGGAAGGATCTTGTAAATGGAATTACAAGTTCAGTGATATTATGAGTGTTGAAAGGCATGATTTGAATAGTGAAACTTGGGACGCTAGGTTAGCTGAAGTTTTGAACATAGTGAGTTCAGAGCAAAAGTTATTATAAGTTCATCAGGCAGTGATAAATGGTGACGGGTATAAATATTTTTTAAGCAATGAGTTCAAAGTTTTATCAAAGTCCCTCTTTTTGATTGTACTACATACTCAAAACGTATCCTTTCGATATGTTCAATAATTCGAATAAACTGAAGCTATCCAAACAATTTTTTTCGAAATATAACTGGACTATGTCTTCTTATGACAAATCATAATGAATCAAGCAAGCACCTTCATACACTGATTATGTCTTTCAATATTCCTACGTTTCGTGGAAACTTAAGGTACTCGGAATAGCCGACATACTTTTATTCGATTAAAGTGGTTCAGAAAAACTGGTTATCAATATCATATCAGTTCACTTCAAACTCTGATATTCAATTACTTGATTTTAGGGGATATGAATGACAGCAAACACTTCCCTTAGGTTTTATTATAGTTGGTAATTATCAGCCAGGTGTATTTAGGTAGTGTAGTTTCAAAACTCCATAAACAAAATGAATATTCAAAGTCAATTTCTGATATTCAACACAACAATAATCAGATAGGGGTTTTGTGGATACTATAGTAATTTTTTAAATGGTTGGATTCATGAGTCAATTGAAGCGGTCGCGCGCGAGATTGATAGGTCTTGGGTCCGAATCTCGCGACGCCGGATCGTGGGTGCGCACTGCTGAGGAGTCCCATACTAGGACGAGACGGCCGTCCAGTGCTTCCATGTTTTCCATGTTGGTCTAGCTTCGATTGACTCATGAATTCAACTATTAATAATCAGATAGTTTACTAGGTCACATTTTGAAGTCATGTTTAACAATTTCCTTTCATTTGGATTGGCAATCAGTAAAATAACATATATATATATATATATATATATATATATATATATATATATGCTGAGGAGTCCCATACTAGGACGAAACGGCCGTTCAGTGCTTCCAGGTCTTCAATGGTGGTCTAGCTTCATGATTTCAATCTGAGAAGTAGGATTAAGCATTATATGGAACGCCTCAGCTACCCTCCTTTCTTTGTAGTTGCAAAAGCCTTTTTGCAATATTTTGATATTTTTAAAATCGATTTGGTGGTTGTTGAAAATGGCATGAACTGCTATTGCCGATTTAATTTGAAGTTGGTTCAATTCTACAGGATTGTTAGGAGGTTTCGTTGTGTACCTAATATGTTCTTTGGCTCTAGTCACGATTTCGCGGGATGACTCTCCAATATAATAGGCATCACAACCGATACAACCTAATTTGTAGACGCAGTTCTGTGTGAACATGAAAGGGATTTTGTCTTTCAGGTGAACTACTCATTGGGATATTACAAATATATTATTTTTATTTATAACAATCTTCTTGATTCAACCCTTCAAACAGACTGGAACACACAAGAGATTTTACAAATCATTACTGAAACTGTATCATGTATTATCTAGAAAACAAGAATTCTAAGAGAAAGATTTATATTTTAAAAGAGATAGAGAACGATTTAAATAGGAATAAGTGACAAAATCACAATCGCTACTGTTTTATGGATTTTTAAGTTAAAGATCTTTATAAAACTATTAGAAGAGTTCAGCATAAATTAGCCTAAATTTGTGGCATTTAAGTGTATACAAAGAGAATACAATTGTAAAGATATGGAAACGATCTTTGAATCAAACTAATGAATCTATTCCAAGGGGACTTATATACATTTGTAGTTCCACAAGTTAATGACTGAAAAAACTTTAGAAAAGTTCTTAAGGTGAGCGGGCAAGCATCTTAAAATAAGTTTTCGATTGAGGTCATTGAAAACTTGGAAGCACTGGACGGCCGTTTCGTCCTATTGTGGGGCTCCTCAGAAGTAGGCGTCCACGACCACATTCGCAGGATTCGAACCAAGGGCTTTCGGTCTCGCGCACGAACGTCTAATATCTAGACCACTGAGCTGGAATCCCACGGTGTTTATGTCTAACTCCAACCAATCCACAAAATTGCGCGACCGTACTGAGGTAGATACCTGTCTCTACCCGACACGGGTTAGCTCTGCTGGTCATGGCTTCTCAAAGGAACTCCGAGAATTCCCTCACGAAGCCAGTCACTAGTGAGCGCATGGTAATTATCAGTATGGGGGGGGTCTTAATCTCAACCAAAACTTAATAATCTCCACAATCCCATACTGGTATCTCAAAACAACTTTTAAATTCAGAGAACGTTTTCTGACAACAAAAATTTTTTTCTTGTTATTACTATCAGTCACTTGTTATCGACCAATAACATCTGAAAATATAAAGATAACCAGTAGATTGCTTAATAATCAAGGATATCAAATAGATCAGTTAAGTTTTCCTCAAGTTCCACAGAACATCTAGTTGCGATTCATTCATTCAACTATTTAAATATATATATTTCAAGGAAAAACCAAGTACCACACACAAACAACTGTTAAACATCTGATTTTAAATCATTGAATTAAGCTTTACATTACTTACAGTTCATTGTAACTGGTATGTCATTTGAATTTCATCCTATTTTGTTCATTATTACTAAATTTCCGGTGGAATTTCCTAAAATGGTTAAGTCTAAATGGTTTTTAGTTCTACTTACTTGTCTATATGAAAAGAACCATCCTACTACCTTCGCAAATGAACAAGGACTTCGTAGAGTTCATAAAAAGTCCAAAATTTCGACTTCACTAATAACTAGGAGTAATAGTCTTTAATTTTAAGCATTTTTCATAGATATGAATTATTTACTTAACAAGATGTTTAAAGAGACATTCCAACTCAAAAAATCTGCATAAAGGATTCATATGCATCTACCCTGTTCGTACTGAAAGTATTAAAATGAAGACCAATCAGGGATAGAGAGAAAGAATTGGATAATTTAATGACCGTTGTAAAAATCACCTATTTTAAGGTGACTAATATATGTTTAATTTTATTCACATGAGGAGTAAACTGTTCATTTAATGGAAAAAGCCATATTGAGATTCCAACCTATTTACTTCCAGAGCTGTTTATCCTAAGCTTAGTTTGTGTCATCGTTGTGGGTGGGCTTTATAGTGTCAAAATAAAACGAACTAGTTTAGTCTTTAAAGTCTTCCCAGCTGATGTTAGTTCATGAGGAAAATGTTATTTTCAAAAATGAAATAAATCTCTTCAAACCTCTTAGTCAGACATAAAACAAGATTCATTTATATTGGTTGTTTAGGCGAACAATACTAGATTCGAGTCCTGGGGTGAATGTCAGCTCTAGGACACAGAAGCAACCAGTTGAAGAGTGCTAAGCAGGATGAAACGTATGTCCTGGATCCCGCTTTTAGGATACTTAAATTTCTATCTGACAAGGTGAGCTCCCCTTAAGTCTACGCATGCAATTACACAAACTTCTGTTAGAACGGTATAAGTGATTATCTCTAAAATCAGTGCAGGCAATTGTCTACGAGTTAGAATTTGATTTTTTTTTAAAAAGACGTTATAATGCTAGAGAACTTCTCAAAATCTTACATTCTAGTCTTGTTGGAGACGTTAGATCCCCAGAACCCACTTGGGAAAAAACCTAATCTTGTAATTTTGTTTAGAAAATTTGAATTTATTTGTTTTCGCGCCGAAGGCGTTCTTGTCACTTTCATGTCGTATTTCCCACTGGGAAATATCTTAAATGCTATTGGTCCGTTGCATCGTTTAGTGTGCTATTTGGTAACCCTCCTCAAGGACGGTTTTTACACTGTATATATACGTTTTGAATTGTGTTTGTTGTTATCGCTCGTTTCTGGCTGTTTTGCAGAATATACTTCCCATTCCAAGCTTGAACTTCTCCTTCTAGTTAACGAGACTGGGACGCATCAGTAGCTAGCTTACTGATCTTTAGTCACCGAGTCTTTGTTCTCATTCGCCGATTAAGTGAATTCGTGATCACTTCAAACCTAGCAAGTCTAACATCAATAGATTCATTGATAGGAATCCTATCAACCGAACTATTACAGGAACAAGTCAACTAGCGAATCAATAAATCTAACAAAATAATCATTCATAGAAAACCTTCAATAAGAACAATCTAATCTAAAGCTTATAAATCAATTGAACAGCTCATTTCTATACAAAGTAATCGTTAATGGTATTATCCAGAATAGAAAATAAATATAAAAAAAAATTAAACATATATCATTAAATCATTTCACTCAAGAAACACATGATATAATACTAAATCCTGTTGTATTAAAAATTAAAAAAAAATTTTTTTTTGCTTTTTGTTGTTGTCGTTCTTGTTGCTATGAATATTTCTTTATTTCAAACAAAAGTTAATTTATAAAAAATATTTTTACATATCTTTGAGAATAAATTTAATGAATTCATTATATATGAAATAGTAACATGTCTCTATGTTACAACTTCTCTCTTTTCTTTTTTCTTTTTTCTTGTTTTCTTTTTTTTCCAAAAAAAAGAATTTAACATGAACAAACAAACCTTAGATAACTTGTTCATTCATAAAGTGTAATAGAGATATATCATGTTGCCATGTAAATTGTTATTTTTTTGTTGTTTTTTTTATAAAAAAAAAGAAAAGAGAATAAAGAAGAAGAAAAGAAGAAATAAACCTGAGAAATTACTTTGTAATAAAGCAAACAATTAAATAGTAAACTTAAAATGAGTTTATGAAGTGAACATGAGTTTTTTCTTTTTGTACAATTGAATAGTACATTTATGAAAAATAATGCAAAATAAAGGAAGAAAAAAGAAAAAGAAGAAGAAGGAGAAGAAGAAGAAGAAAGAAATTAGTATGAGGCATTTGATTCTTTATGCAGATATGAATTGTAATGGTAACTTCACTTTCATACAACCTACAAGATCTTTATTTTCCATTTCTAGTTTGATTGTAATATGAACATCAAGTTTCTGTGAGGGAAAATTTACAACAACAAGAAAAAAACACAAGTTGGTTAGATGATTGAAAAATATGTTGACGGTGATGATGATGATGATGATCAGATTGTAAAGTAAAAACCGTTGTCTTAAAGTACAAAATACTACTATAGATACTGAAAAATTCATTTGTTAGGATAGGCTTTTTCTGAATATGATAAATTAGATAACTAGTATAAACAGACATTTGAATCCCTCGTGCAAGATCGTGGATAAGCACTACTGAGGAGCCTCATACTAGGATGAAACAGCTGTTCTGTGTTTCCAGGTTTCAGTGTTGGTCTCACTTAAATTTAGTCGTAATTTCAACTAGAATATCTTTATTTTCCAACCCAATAAATGGCATGATTGATAAAAACATTATGACAGAAAGGACATAAGTAAATATATTTTCATTAAAAAACCCTCTAAGACGACCTGTTTATCACCTAACATATAATTAATGACAAAACATTTTACCATAATGATCGAACAACTTCTGATAGAGATACCATTTAGAGAATTCTGGTCCAAACATCTCAGTGGTAATATATCTGACTGTTATAATACGCAATGTAAGTTTGGATCTACAAGTGTCTTGAGTATCAGTCTCCTTCAAGATATCGGATGTGTTTCGTTGAAGAGAATCAACATATACGAGACTTATATCCACGACTTTATACAAATCCCCATCAAACATGTAACATCAGAAATAATTCACTATGACTGTCCACTTAAGGAATTGGTTTTTACTCAATGACCACTTACGGTGAACGTTTGATGTTCATCCAAAATATTCTTTCCGAATTCTCATTGTGACATTCTCTAAACTGAACAATATAATTCAATCTTTATTTCCCTGTGCCATTAAAATTAGTTACGTTCATGATCTCTCTGCCCACTAATCTGTGCTTAATATACAGAGATACGAATTGTCTTTATCTAGTTTAAGGCCTTGTAGAAATAAGTTACTTAATCCAACCTTAAATCTTCAACGCGCAAGTTCAATGTATGTCTAAAACGGCTTTGGGGTCATAGGGAAGAAATCTATCCTACCTCTGAACTGTGATATGTTAGGTTGACAAATAAAAAGAAAGAAGACAATTTTAGCTGGAATTGTTATTCTTGATTGACCTTTAGCTCAAAAATGAACATGAGCAAATATAGTGCCAACAAGATCACGATGCACAAGGAATGAAAAAACACAACTATATCCAAACTAAGACATTAGAGTAGAATAATGAAATACGGAGGTCATGTTTATATTACGGTTATTTTGAAATAGAGAGGAATATGACCGTAATTTGAACATTAAACAAAAGCTTATAATAGGCAAGGCACAGAAATAAATATTGGTACTTTATAGGCTTCGAATTAAGTTAGATAATATGCAGAAAAATAGTTCCCGTTGTTTGTCGTTGCTTCTTTATTTCTCTATTCACATCAAAATGTATACCGTATGTTAAATATCTTCATTTTTTGTTGTGTCTAACTTCTAAGATTTTATACACTTTAACGTAATATTTACTAATTTTGAAACAATCTATGATACATCAGTGAAATAGTCTATATCTAAGCAAAGATATATAGTGGCTAGCAGTGGAATCCAAGACACGCGTTTCGTTTTATTTGGAACTCGTCAGATCTTTGCTTATAAAGCTTATGAATTAAGGCAATAGTGAGACATTCCGCACAGGATGCACATATGCCAATAAGAGACTGGTCAATTGCAGTTTTAAATAACGATTCAAGTAAACAATATCAAGTGAATTTAATCTATTTCTAATGCTATTAGAAATGTGATGAGAGTTCCATCTCGGAAGTATATTTTATTTACCATTCTTTTACATTTGATATAGTTACATTTGTAACTGAATCATTTTCTGACCATTAATTTTTAATGATAAATGATGTATAGCGGATGAATTTTAGATCTAAAATTGCGATAAGCTAAACTTTCATATTATGGAGATATTAAGTGGTTGAAGACGTTCATCAGGAAGCCGTAGGCCTAAGCACTTACTACCGAGACGTATCCACAATCTTCCTCATAGGGTTCAAACTCATATAATCTAGTTCTACTATTTGAAAGTCACCACTGAGCTATCTAAATAGCAACTGATTTCTTGTATAACTAGAACTTCTTCGATAGGTTTTGGATTAGCACTCACGGACTAAACAAACATGACATTGTTCACTGCTCAGAAATCAACTAATAATAACTCTGATAATATATTTGAACGGTTATCTGGTCCAACAATAAAGATGTGAATATATACTAGTACTGTTACATTTTCTACGTGAGCTGTCATAACTCGCATTGCGTGAAATGATGGTAAGTATTATTTCTCAAAGAAAGTGAGTAACAGGAGGTCTGTTATCACTTAATCGTTATTTTTCACTGTATTATGTTATTATGGTTATTTATTAGTAGTCGAAGTTGATTGAATCAAGTGGTAATTTTTATTTTATTTCTAAGATCGTTAGTTGAAGGACATTATCTGACAAACAGTAATAAGAATCAATTATCATCTTTAACGATGGTTCTATTCGGTCCTAGATTATTCAAACAGTCGTTGAGATATGCGCCTCGTCTCTAAGTATTGTGATTCAATCTCCATTGAAGTGATCTGACTCTGGGACAGGAGAAGTTTCAATTAAAAACTTAATGGGCAGTATAACCATTAATCATATGCTATTTCATGATTAAGTTACTGTCATAACAGGTCATTCAACTAGCTTTCTAATAAAACCTGAGATACGTTTACTGAGATTATTTGTTATTGAAGGTATATAATTCATAACAGACTGTCGGAATTTCGATGGTGTTGAGTTCTCTGAGCTAAACAAATCTTTTAAGGAGGTTCTAATTCACTTCAGGATAATATGTTCAAAGCCTATTACCTGCTGAAGTAAGTAATTAGTTATTTCACAAGTTAATATCATTTTTTTCTGACAGAACTGCTTGTGATCGAAAGTCCTTATAAACCCTGTTGTCTTCAGTTTTTCTTGTATTCCTGCTACAGTCGATTAACGAAGAGTCGAAATTCGGAATTAGAAAAACTGAGAAGGCCAGAAAATGTCTAGGAGAACAACAATCAAATCAACTGCAATCAATAAACACATCCAGATGGATCCAGTCTATTAACTCATATGTAATTTTAACAAGCACCTTTGATGTTGTCCATAACGAAAATAAAATGCTTAGTAAATAAACCATCTAAATAAGAGTGTACAGCATCAACGAAAGAATCAGTAAAAATACCTACAATATACTCACTTACCTTATCAGAAAATAAGAAATTAACTAAAAATCGCGGTAATTCAAGTTCATCTAGAATATTGTTAAGATTCAATTTCACACGTTGTCTATAAATACCCGGTGGCATATTACAAAAGCACATTGTGTTTTTCTGATAAAATCTAGGTCTTTTCAGTGAACATTTTGATTGTGGAACATTTGCTGGCCAGTAATCACATACATTCTGGATTACTCTTTTTAAAAAAATTAGATAGAGGGGAAACATCAACTGATATAATTATAGTAAAATGTAAGTGTAAAATAAAATAATCTTTAAAAAAGTAAAGTTGATACACAAGCTTAAATAGAGACTAAAGTAATGAGTATATTGTTTGAAATTGGCTATTATCAGAATGGGGGGTTTGTGGAGATTGTAGTGATTTCAATGGTTGAATTAATGAGTCGATTTAAGCTAGAACACCATTGAAAACATAGAAGCACTGGACGGCTGTTTTATTCTAGTATGGGACTCCTCAGCACTGCGCATTCACGATTCCGCACAAGGGACTCTAACCCATTAATTCAACCATTAAAAATAGATATATTTGCGAGCTTCGTATTTAAGTTTGAGTTGATATTAAAAATCCTGTCAATTACGTCGTTGTGTTAATTACGAAATACAACCCATCACTTAGACAATGATGATAATAAGCAAAGATGAATAGTGGCTAGCAATGGAATCTAGGACGCGCATTTCGTCCTGTTTGGGACTCGTCAGATTCGAGTAAACAATACCAGGTGAAATTAATATTGATAATACTAAGGAAACAATGTATTGTTGACCTTAAAATGTGTCTTTTAAGCATTTAAATGCAAAGTTAATGGTTTTATGTTTAGTATTTTGAAGATCTTAGATTATTTAGTGCGAAACTGTACCCTTTTGAAGAATTTTTAGAAATTAATTTACACTAACAGTAGTTTATGAAATCAACTGAGGTGGCACTTGAAAGTAGTGATCACTTGATAGCTATTTTCCCATTGTTGAAATCCATAGTAAAAAACATCAATGAACCCACAAAAGTTGAACCTGATACTTTTGGTCCTTAGAATGAAAGCGTAACCTGGCTAATCACTTTTACGCTTTAACATAAATTGATAGAAACCAGAAACATGAATCATTGTATTCTGACCTACTGATTTAGATGGAGCGCTCCTGTCATCAAACTAGGTCATGAGTACAATCTCTGGAAGATTTGTCAGTGTACACTACTCAAGTGTTCCAAAGTAGAATAATATAGTTGTCCAGAGTTTTTCCTTCACTAATTACCTAAATTATGTCGATCAGTGATAAAGACCATCTCTTACAAAAGTATACTCTTTGATTGTGAATACACATAAATTACTTACCCAATGTATAACGGAGGAAATTCCGGATTTATACGTACTTCTAAAATAAGCCGATATTGTTCAGTTAATTCTTTATGTAATTGCATAACATACTGTATACGTGCTTGAACATTTCCTTGTTTTAAAATTAATACAGATGGACGAATAGCAATTTTGTGCACAGTGATTACAGCAACAACATTATTTGTAGAATGATGATTTAATGCAGATTTATTTCCAACATTCTGATTGGTTACAACTGTGTTGCTAGATATTTTCAATTTTTCACTTACATTGATCTCATTTTCATGAACTGAGCGTTTTGATCTCAATAAAGAGTAATTTTTATTCTGCTTCCTTGTTAACCATGTAAACTTTTTAGGAGATTTGATCCAATTTCTTTTACTTCGAAGCCATTGACTTTTTAAACCAGGTAACTTCTTATAATAACTTTTGTATTTTCTTTTAGTTTGTCTTGAAAAACGTTTTTTATTATTATAATTGAAGAAATTTCTTTCATACCAATGAATTTCTTCTTGAGATAACAAGTCTGGAGCTGGTTTGACTTCATCTGTAATACCAAGTTAAATGATAAATTACTGATGTCGATAATTTTACAAAACTCCTTGCAGTTAAATAAACAATTGCGCGTCTAATGCCAGATATAAAGAATAACTTCTACTTCTCATTATACTGATCATAGAAATTCAAATCCGTAAGAATATTCTACATCAAACCTTGATTATCTCAAAATAATTTATTTGAACAAATTACATATTTTTAGTGGCTAACAGTGAAATTTAAAACATGGATTTCATTGTATCTAGAGTTTGTGAGCTGGATGCACATGTATCCCAGAATTTGTGTTTAATCCGGGACTCAAACCCATTCGTTTCGCTTCAAACACTAGTGCGTTAGTTACTATGCTGCTGATGTTAGTTTGTGAAATATGCTGTGTAAATGACTGGTCTACAAACTTCAATTTCTTTTTACATCTGATTAGATCATCTTTAGTAGATTGTATCACGTTTATTGCAAGTAATAATGTCAATGGCTATTCTGTGTACATTTTTCATTTTCTAACTACTTTGCTGTAAAATATTTCGCATCGTTGATCAAGAAGCATAATATGAAACCATTCCTAAAACATTTATAACAGATGAATAAAAGTAGTCCATTTTATTATGGCCTATCATTGTGAATATAATAACATGTAACAACTTCTGAATAAATCTAACCCTATCTTTGTATGCTATTTAATTAATAATAATACTGTGTAATTTATTTTCACAGCATTTAAAAATTTAAGTAACGCATTTGTCGGGTTAAACAAGAATCCCGCAAGCGGGATCATGGATGAGCACTGCTGAAGAGTCCCACGAGAGGTAGAAACGGCCGCCCAGTGTTTATAGGTTTTCACTGGTGGCCTAACATCAATCGGTTCATGATCTCAATCTAAAACTTAATAATCTCCACAACCCTATACTGATACACATTCTTACTAGTAATGTTTATTTCTGTTATCAAAGGAGTTGATAACTATTCATTGATTAATTCATTTTGATGTTGATTGTTTGACACTTACTAATGATGTTTAGGACTTCAGTTGATCAGTCTCTAATTCGCATATATGCATCCTGTGAGAATTTTCGCGATATCACCTTAAGTCACAAATATTATAAGCAGTGATGGATGGTAGCGTGCAAAGAAATAGAGGACATGCGATTCGTCCTATTTGGGAATCGTCAGTTGGATGTACCTGCATCTCAGAGTTGATTTCCACTCCGAGACTCAAGCCCATTGAGTAAGCTAGTGTCTATCTAGACTCAGTAACTAAGTGTATAATGTGATGGGGTTTCAAGCGAACGGTAATGGGCTCGAGTTCCGGGGTGAATATCAACTCTAAGATACAGGTACATTCACGTGATGAGTCCCACATACGACAAAACGCCCATCCTGAATTCTACTGATAGCCACTATTCAAGGAGTCATTTTTTTCAAATAACAAAGATTTATGAAAAACATATCCTAATTAATGTGAAGATAAATGATTCGTTTTTACTTTATGGAGTCAAACTGTACAAAATAAAGGGTCCTGAATCGTGATCTAATTGCTTAGATTCAGTTTCTTTATCAATAAAACGATACATTCTTCGTATTTTTAGGCGAAAAGAAATTTTAACCTATTTTTCTCTGTTTAAAATCTTATCTACTAATCTAGTTAGTTGGTACCCATCACACGCGAACTAGGTCAACCTATATATATATATATATATATATATATATATATATATATATATATATATATATATATATATATATATATATATACAAACATTTGTAGTAAACCTATCTTCAAAATGTCAACCGAATATGAAATAAGTTAATTGACCAAAATATAAATGGCTTATATAGGTATCATTTAAAGTTGACCACCAACAAATCGTGTGAGACCTCCAACGTAGTAAAATATACAAAAAAACTAATTAAATATTTGTAATATAATACATTTATATGTAAAAGGTGTACGAGGAAGGAAGAGGAGGAGAAGGAGGATGGTGGTGGGGGGGAGAGGAGGAGGTTGATAGTTGTGTAGATTAGTAATAAGTAGAAAAAACATTTGCAAGCTGTGTTAAATAGTGAATGACTTTCGTAATTTCTTCTTCGTATTCCTCTTCTTCTTATTATTATTATTTTCATTTCCATTATTGTTATCAATATCCTTTACCTCACATGATGTAAATTAACGTACAAGTTGAAAAGTAAGAAAAACAACATAAACACTAATGAATAGACAAATAAATAAATAAATATCATCATTTATATTTGGTGTGAATCTCTATTGTAGAGTATAATATCATGTAGGTCTTGGAAATTTATTGAAAATACTATTTACAGTTTTACGGTTAACTTCTATTTAGATTAGATTTATATAGTTCATAATTTGTTTATTAAACCAAGCTGCATGTATGAGGCTCCTTGATGTAGTTGAATAAAAGTAGAATGGTCCAATTGTACAAGTCTTACAGAAAAAAAAACATTTCAAGCAAATAAGATAATGTTTCACACACGAGACCAAAGGTCTTAAGTACTATTCCCGGTTGGAGGTTTATAGATGAACACTATTAAGGACTACTAATATTAGGATCATACAGTGATTTGATAATTTTTGGTTTTCAATGATTATTTAACATCGATTGAATCGGTGTCAGGCAAGGCTGCTTACTCTCACCCTTCCTTTTTCTCCTGGTGATCGACTGGATCATGAAGACATCAACATCTGAAGGGAAACACGGGATACAATTGACATCTAGGATGCAGTTGGACGATATAGACTTCGCAGAAGATCTGGCCCTTCTATCTCAAACGCAACAACAAATGCAGGAAAAGACGACCAGTGTAGCAGCAGCCTCAGCAGCAGTAGGTCTCAATATACACAAAGGGAAAAGCAACATTCTCCGATACAACACAGCATGCACCAATCCAATCACAATTAACGGAGAAGCTTTAGAAGATGTGAAAACCCTTACATAATTGAGCAGCATCATTGATGAACATGGTGGATCTGATGCAGATGTGAAGGCGTGGATCGGCAAAGCAAGAGCAGCATATTTACAACTGAATGACATCTGGAATTCAAAACAACTGTCAACCAACACCAAGGTTAGGATTTTCAGTTCAAATGTCAAGACAGTTCTACTATATGGGGCAGAAACCTGGAGAACTACGAAAGCCATCATCCAGAAAATACAGGTGTTTATTAACAGTTGTCTACGCAAAATACTTCGGATCCTTTGGCCGGACACTATTAGCAACAACGTACTGTGGGAGAGAACAAACCAGATCCCAGCGGAGGAAGAAATCAGGAAGAAGCGCTGGAAGTGGATAGGATACACATTGAGGAAAGCACCAAACTGCGTCACAAGACAATTCCTCACATTGAATCCTGAAGGTGAAAGGAGGAATAGACGAAGACCAAAGAACACATTACGCCGGGAAATGGAGATAGAAATGAGAAAAATGAACAAGAATTGGATGGAACTAGAAAAGAAGGCCCAGGACAGATTGGGTTGGAGAATGCTGGTCGGCGGCCTATGCTCCATTAGAGTAACAGGCGTAAGTAGGTAAGTAAGTAAGGATCATAATTTTAATGAGAAGAGACTTTTGGAAATTTATATGTCCAATTTACCTGTTACTCAATTGGAAACAAGCTAAACACTTTTATTCACAATTGATTGTTTAAAGAAAATCTGATAACTTTTGAGTAATTTAATATTATGTAGATAAAAAACGTTTTTTTCTTTTTCTTTTCATATTAGTTACATCGTAAACAATTCACATAGAATTATCTACTCACTTATAAAGATCATTGTTCATTTCAAAATAAGCCTTTAACAATGAAATAACTTCAGCTGAAATATAGTAACGAGAGTAGGAATGAATAACTAAATTGTTGAAGTGTTATGAATGAAGACAACCATTAAAGACTAATAGTCTTTTGATTAGTTTTGATTCAATGATTAAAACTTAGAATTCTACTTAGTTAACCTATTGTTATACTCTATATAGTCATAAGTTATTCAGTTTTCTAAACTATCGAGAATCACTGTGCTCGATTATACATCTTGATAAGTTTTGTCTAAAGTTTTTAGAATATAATAAATACATTTATCACTATCAGTAAGTTTCAATAGTATTTATAGAGAAACTATAATTTATGAACGGACCAATCAGATTTACGATAACAGGTCTTGAATTTTGGCGCAAAATTAAATTATCTATTTGACTAAATAGAGTTTAAGCATTATAGCTTATGTCAGTTCGTGATGAAAATCCTAAATCTAATTTCTAACCTTAACCATCAAATGTAAATCATAATTCGAATTCCTCACATTGGTTTATAATCCTTATTTAGGCCGTAGTATATACGTCAACATCTCCAAGGAATTTTTAGCGTCGCTCAAAGTTCATCTATAAATTGTAGTCTCACCGCACTTATCTCATCTAATGTACAGACAATCATGAAAATTCTTACATTAAATTGTTACAAAACTGATTAGTGAATTATCAATAAAAAATCTGAATGACAATTATTCTTATTCATTATTTAATGATCTAGATTAATATATTGGAAAGATTTGACACGATCGGATTTAAATCTAAGTAAGCTATAATTAATGGAAACTGATTTCAGAAGGTTCTGTGTGATTCTTCATGTTGACTTCATCAAAAAAAGTAGAAGAAAACGTGTCTATTAAAAACTAAATTAAAGTGAGTTATCCCTTTTAAATTGTTTATATATCTTTGAATAAAACTCTAATTACTTAAACCAAGTTAAATATATAGACAGGCGAGTATTCATGAAGAATTCCATATTGGGACTAAGAAACTGTTTAACGCTTACTTGTTTTATCATTATTAATACAATCTTTTTGGCGCAATATAGAATTTTAATCGTTGATACCGTGAGTCAATTTTAAGATAGATCACCATTGAAAACCTGGAAGCACTGGAAGACTGTTTTGTCTTAGTCTAGGATTATTCATCAGTCCATATTCACAATCTCACATA